TTCTTCATGATGTATTTGATAAAGTACATGGAAAGGATGTTCTCAGCCTTGAGAATGATGCAAATCTCTTGAATGTAGGTACCTAATAGAACCACACTAATTTTTGAAAGAAAAAATAATTTTAAAATTACTACAAACTTTCCTTTCCATGAAAATGCTCGGTGTTGAGAAAAGATGCTAAAATTGATCAGTGTTATGCAACTCTAATTCCAGTACCTAGTACACTCAAAAATCAGTACTAGCTGATATTCTGCAGGTGTCTAAACAAGAATGGATGTGTACAAAAAATTTTAAAGCCAGAAGTCATGTGATGATGTCCCTGTGAGAAGCACAGGTGGTGGGGTCGGCAATCTTCTGAAGGAAATAATGTGGTTTTACAACCCTGGACTTCCCCACCCTGGACAAAGGAGGTGGTGAAAATGCAATACACGTATGGGGAAACTAATCAGGCTTGGGAAAAAAGTCGAAATGTGTGTAAATGAAAGCTGTTGCTGCTGCTGTTGTATTAGGTCATTTTCAGTTTGAGGAACTTAAACCAGACACAGAGTCCTTCAAAGTCCAAACTCAACCCATGCAGCTATTTTGCAAATCCTCTGTATGTGTATCTTAGGTTTCCATGTATGTATGAAAACTCCCTGATTTTCCCCAGTCAACTAGTTCCTGCTAATGCTTCCATCACAATCCAGCAAAGTAGCAGCAAAACTTCCAAGGCCAGTCTAACATTACGGTGACAGTCAAAGCTGCGTATCCAATACATGATGAAGGCACTCAAGTCTCGCTTGAATTCAAGATTACCTGAAAACAAGAATACAATCAACTAGGGAAAAATGGGGATGCTGGTTGTTCACATAAAGACACTCAAGCTCACACTGCAAGTTGTAGGCCCTTCTCTCTCTCCAGGAATTTACCTAATTCTCTAACCTCCTAAGGGTTACCTAATTCTCTAATGGTCTCCTAATTCTCTAACCTTAGCCCAGAGGCACACATACTCATTGAGTGGAAATAGGACCACTGTGCAGATAACACAAGAATCCCTGGACAGAAGGAAAGGTAGGTGGAAAAACCCTTCAGCTTGCTTGAGGGAGCACTCCTGGACCCCAACCCTTTTTTCTGAATTATTCTGCCTTTTACACAGATCCTAGACTAAAATTACGTGTGTATATAAACCCTCTAGGGCCAGAACTCAGTGCACTTCCTGACCTATGACAATTAGTGATACTTTGGAAAGTGGGAGATAAGACATTAAATCTATTCCAAATGCAACTGCATGAAATGCAACATCAGACCCTTCATCAGAGTCACTTGGAAAGCATCAGCCCTACCATGGTAGTGTGAGACCAATCATTTAGTTAACATTAAAGAAAGCAAATAAAGCCCATAGTATATATCTTGATGTATCTTACCTTAGCTTTTAATCTTTTACTTCATTAGACTTGGAAGAAGTGGAATCCCATGAAAAATAAATTTCTGCAAGGATGAAGATTTTTCTTCAAAGGGAGTTTGAAAGATTATGATTATGTCACTTACTGAAAAGTGATACAACTGAAGCAGCACACAAGTACTGAATATGTTTACTCACTCTAAGTCATTGTAAGAGGACATTTTGTATTTGTTTCACAGTGGAAACAAAGCCAGATGAATTAAACCTCAAAAAAGCACTGTAAATAAAACCCCTTCTCACAATGTCTGCAGAATTCACAACTGCAAAGCTGAGGCAGAATATGGATTACTCCATAAACTAATTCTTAATTCATGTAAAAATACACATAAGTGGACTTTTTATTTGCAGGCTGTAAGGAATAGAAGTATATCAACAAGAATAAAAATGTACAGAAGTTTTCAAAACCTTTTTTAGGGGAAAAAAAACCAAAACAGAAACAAACAAGAAAACAAACAGTCCATGTTATAGGATGTTTTCCCTCACATGTGTTCTGACACTAGCACATGGAAAGTAAAGGACCACTTTAACCAGCACATTCTGAGTTTTATTTTAAAATCCTTAGATAAGTGTTAGGTGAATTTCAACTTACA